CTCTCTCTCTCTCTCTCTCTCTCTCTCTCTCTCTTATTTATCTCATACGCAGTATATGCATAGCCTAAAATAGATATTATATATTCCATTAGCAGAATTCCAAAATATTCATTGCTAAATGATTTCTACAACAGAATAAAATAATTTTAACAACTATAATGCGATAGAAAAATGCAATAAATCTAAATTACGTATTTGAGGAATTTGAAATAATAAATTCACTAATCTAAATACATTGTAGGAATGAGACAGAAATTGTGATAAAATGGTATAAATGTAGAGAAGAAATAGAATATTTCATGTGATACACATTAAACGATCAATTATTTCAGTCACACTAAAAAAGAATTTCTTTTTTAAAATTTCTGGAATTTTAATGAGAAAAAATGTTGACAATCCATAGCAAGCAGTAAAAATTTTTTGAAAGAACAAATGAAAGAGAGATTGTCAGACAATGAAGAGGACATCGAAATTTCATTGTTTCTTATCATGATCAGGAAAATGAGAAAAACCAGCTTCCCATCATCAGATTATTTTCGTGAAACATTCACCAAAAAAAAAAAAACCGATACCTGTTCGCTATTATCACCATTAAACTATTACTACGTCGTTACTTACTACTATCATTACTACTAGTAGTTGTGCATAAGCGAAGTATTCAAATAAATTATGTTTTTTTTTTAACATTTCAAATCTAGCTTTTAAACTTATCTTATCACTTGCTACCTTCAAAAATTTGGAATGAATATTATTCAATCAATTTAGTATGATTAAAAAATATTATTCCTGCATAAAATTTTTATATTCCAGCTTTGTTAATTAAACTCATTACGAAATCTCTGAGACTTCTCATACTTCATATATTATGCTAATAATATATAAAGTACGGAAAGCCTCAGAGATTTCGTTTCGTTTCTTTTCCTTTTTTTTTTCTATTTCGTGCTAAAAACGTACTTTGTGAATCATTTTCAACAAGGCCTAAATTTTCGAGGGGTCTATTCATTATATATATATATATCCATCTGCATATATATATATATATATAATGTATATGTGTATGTATATGAACAATAGATATGGAATATGTTCAGAAACATACAAAGAAAACCTCCTGCTGTGACCCAGTTTATTGATGGAATACTGGTTGTGTGTATAGCGGGAATGGAAAAAGTAAAATAGAATTTCCCGATTAGAGCGATAGGGTTGAATAGGTGAAAAACTCGAAAGTTGAAAGATGAATATTGATTAATTTCGAGCGATTATAACGATAGCATTACTAATATATATTATAACTAACTCTCAGAGAAAAAAAAACATTAAAATACAGCAGTTGATAACTTTTCATTGATGACCAATTTCAATTTAACAAAAACTCAATATTCACTGAACTGATGCCAATCATTTACCGCACTGACCTTGGCACCGTAGATGAACGAAATTGTGCGAGAGATCACAAGGGGCATCAAATCAACATTATGAATTATCGCCATTTACAGATGAAATTTGCAGCAGAGAGAAGAAATTAAAAAATTATCGATGTATTTCCGTGTGGTCTAAGTGATGCATACGTGTGAAGCAGAGAATGTTCGTAAATGCGTCGTAAGTAATGGTCTAAGTGGGAATATTCGTGAATGTGTCATAAGTAATGATCTAAGTCAGAATGTTCGTAAATCCATCGTAAGTAATAGTCTAAATAAGAATGTTCGTGAATCGTCGTAAGCAATCGTCTAAGTAAAAATGTTTATGAATCCTTCATAACTTATGGAATTACTGAAATCTTACATTAAATCATTTCACAGCAACAATCCTTGAAAATATTTTATCCATGGATTTCAAGACTTTCCTTCTCTCAACAAATCTCGCAAAGTCAGAAGTAATATGCGCCGTAATGAATAATAGTCAATCATCCGATTAGAAAAACTATTTTAGTATAAATTTCAAACTTAGAAATTCAAATTTGTTGTATAAAAAAAGAATAATATGATCATGGAGGATTAAAAAGCAAACTTTTTTGAAAAAAGAGCTCAAAAATAGATCACAAATTAGTTAATTGTGCATCGCTGAATATTCTTTCATAGCATTTTTATTATATTTTACCGAAAGTTCTCTCTTGATTGAAATTTGAAAAAATCGTGAAACAACTCGGAACTATTTTTGCTTTTAATCTACAAAGGGATAATAAAATTTCATGAGAAACATCAATTAAAGAATTTTAAACATTAAAATATTTTGTGGTCAGATCTGTTCTGATGGCAAACTCTACAAGATTATAAATGGATAAGATAATCTCTGAAAATTAATGACGTTGCTCAAAATGTGCATTTTTAATCTTGATCAAGTGGTAAAGTTTTAGGGAGAAAAAAGCCGAAAAATGAAGATGTTGGCAGTAAATATAACCATGATATAATCATCATGATATCATGATAATGATATTGTAGTGATTATAATAAATAATGTCACAAATACATCAAAATGTCTAAACAGAGGACGGGAATATTATCAAAACAGGATAAACAACGTAGATTTCATGTATTCACATTTTTAACGACTATTCTATTGGTTCAATATTGAAAAGTTCATAAAAAAATTCATTTTATCCTGTTATTATGTTTTCTTTTTTTCAATAAATCACTGTGGTTTCTTATTAAAATAAAAAGAATGAGGAATGATGCGAAATGGATCAACATTATTTTAAAAATTCCTGTAATTGCGTATTGCCATTATTTGCGAAAATTAATTTTATAGAATTCAAAGAAGACAAAAACATGGAAAATGAAAAATATACTTACAAAAATTAAAAGATATTCGGTGCGCGAATTTGTTAAAGGAATTTTAATGAATGTGATGAACTTAAAAACTTTGATAAATGTATGTAAAGCGTATCACCTAGCTAATTTTAAGCTTTTCAAATGGATTGCTAATCAATAAAACACGCCAAACTAATTTATTCCACATAATCAATGGTGCAACTAATTTCAATTATAATAAAATTTAGCTCTTTTTTATGCATAAAGTATTTGAAATCGTCCCATCGTATTCTTTTCATCATCAATTTCCATTTTCAATTATTTTCCTCAGCCTCATTTCGATTCATTGCACCTGTGAAAAGATAATATATTAATCGAGTTCAAAAAAAAGAAAAAAAAACCCATTTTATCCTTTATTAAAAAAATCAATAGTGCAATTATTTTTAATTATAATAAAATTTGGCTTTGTTTAATTTTAAGAGAAAAAACAATAAACATCTTGGATTATCACTTTCAAGACGAGGAAGGCTAGTAATGATAAACAAACCGTTGTCCATTCTTCGAAGACTAAAATTACGAGGTATTTTCTTGGAGATGAAATAAGGATTACAGACTAGCTTTGCGATGTTTCCGATTCGCAGTAAGGATAACCTTTCTGATTGTTGCAATACTGATCGCACTACTTCCAAGTAATATATTAGCAACAATAATCTCGGCACAAACTCATGAACGCTTATCCGATTTTAACATCTCCAAATATAGTTCAACTTCGTTAAATTACAAATTAAAATTTTCGAATGAAAGGGAAGAGATGTAGAAGTGATTACTTGCTGCATTCTCAGCTGCCATAAAAACACTTTGCTTTCTTTGTTTCTGATATCCGAACAGTTGTAGGAAGCGTCCTGGATCGAAGTCATTTACATCTTCTGGCATCGGAAGATCCTTTGTCTCAGGTGCTGTCAGTAGAACTATTGCTGCTGCCAGAGAAACTATCGATACTGTCACTTTTGGCGCTTCTGGACTGATAGTTTTCTGCAATTATG